CCTGTTGCCCAGTGACAGTGGCACAGAGGAGCCTGGTTCTTCCCACACTGAGGGCAGGGCCTGGCCTCTCCCCAGCTCCGGCCGCCCCCAGCGCAGCCCCAAGAGGATGGGCGTACATCACCTGCACCGTAAGGACAGCCTGACCCAGGCTCAGGAGCAGGGCAACCTGCTCAACTAGGGCCTCTGCCTGCCTTCCTGCCTGTGCCCTTGCAGCTCAGGGTCCTCGGCCAGGCCCTGACTCGTCCCACTTCCGACCTGCCCTGTACCCTGTGGGGTAGGGTCAGGTGGTGGGCCACCACCAGGCCTTTCAGTTGTATTGACTGGCACCAGCTTGCCTCATTCATGGCTTTCCCCTTTTCTTAGAATATTTATTTTCCAAAGGTCACATGCAGTTGGGTCTCAAGCCCTTTCCTTCAGTCAGCCCCACCCAGATTGGGCTGGTTCGGGGAGCTGAGGGACTTATCAGTGTTCGTCCTCCATCCTCCGTTGATATTCACCAATTTTCTTTTCTTTTTTTGGGGGGGTGGGGTGGGTATCATTAGGTTATTAACCTGTAATTTCTGTTTTTGTCTGTTTCTCTCCCCTAAATCCTCTGCACAAGTTGTTGCCCACAAGGGGCCTGGCCCAGCAGGCCTTGCGGGTGAGGGGGAGGACTGACTCAGGGCTCCTCTCAGCTGTCTCCTCCTGCCCTCTGGAAGGGGTGGTGGGGTTTAGGGGCCTCAGGCTGGGCTCTGGGTGAGACCTGGCCCCCCTCCTAACTTTGGCTCTAGACTGTTACTCCCAGCTTTGGGAAATTTTCACAGTAATGACTATTTTAGAATCAAATAAACTATTTTACTGTTATAGCCTAATGTGTCTTAATGACCTCTCTCCCACTCTTCTCCCTGTCCCTGCATATTCCCAGTTCTAGTCTCGTCGTAGTGTTGGCCGGTGACTTCTTGCCTGGGGCTCCCCTGGACACTCAGTCAGGCAGTAGGAGATAGGCACCTCAGACAACCTTGGCAGGGCCTCCAGGGGACTGGTGTAGACCAGCTCTGGAGGTGGCTTTTTCAGCTACAGTTTTTACAGAGCTTCTGTAGGGTGTCACCGCAAAACCCCAGGTCCTGGGGCTGAGACCTGTGTGAGAGATTGAGGACCCTTGTCTGCTGCTTGGAGTTTGGGCTGTGGGGCAGTGCTGCTCCCTAGTGGTGCGTCGTGATAGTTCCAGTTCCTCCCCTGCTGCCAGCCCCCAGTGACCTCAGTCGCACACCAGTCATGGAGTTCATAAAATCTCTTCCGAGCCAGCGGGTTGCAGCCACAGCTGCCAAGTCCAGAGGCATTGCCCTGGGTTCAAGTCTCCCACCCCCCAAAGCCATCGCCCAGTCACAGCTTCCAGAGCCTCCCACCATACTGCCAGGAGCTGCCAGAGCCCCGGGCAGGTCTCCTTCCCCCACTCCCTCCCAAGCCCAGGGCCTGACCCTGACATTTGGGGCAAGGTGCTGGGGACAGAGACAAATGAAATGATGCGCAGCATCCCAAGTGGAGAGTCACATCTCGGTCTCAGCCAAAAGACTGTCCCCTAGTCCTGACGTCATTAGGACCATCTGAGAGCTGGGATCTGTGGAAAGCAGAGGAGCGTTCAGACCACCATTCATTCCTCCAGTGAGGACCACAAATAGGCGAGAGATGGCCTGGGGTTTTCACACCCACTGTCCCTTGTCCCGAGCTGCTTCCAGACCTGGCTCCAGTGAACCCTCCAGGTTCTTACCGCTGGGGCACATCCAGGAGCTGCTGTTCCTCTGGTGGGCAGCAGGCTCCCGCCCTCTCTCCCATTCCTGGGTGTCACCAGCACCTCCTGCCACTTCCTCCTCCTCCTCCCCCTCAGACAGAAGGTCACAGATCTGCTGCTGCAGCTCTGGGCTAATGCTGTTCTCAGCCAACACCAGGCTCCGCAAAGCTGTGGGGTAATTTTCTACCATGTCCAGCAGTGTCTGGGGTGGGAAAGAGGGTGGAAAACCATGAACACAGTCAAGGCAGGTGCCCAGAACCAAACT